GTCGACCTCCACCCAAGTCGAGGAACTGCTCCGATCCACCTTGAGGCCGAACGACTGGTCCTTCTCCTCGCCCCAGGAGAAGGTGAGTCCTCCGCCAGTCCTCGGGGACCAGAAGATCTTCCTGGGGGAGTCGAGCGGGAAGCCGAGGCCGTTAGGTAGTAGTCCTGCAGTCTGGGGAGGGAGTTGGTTTGGGTCGTTCATTTTCTATGTTGTGTGTGTGTTTTACTCGTTATTTCTATTGTTATCGTTGCTATCATCATTACTGTTATTATTATTGTGATTATTATGATCATTATTATCATTGTTATTATTGTTATCATTATTATTACTATATTATTATTGTCTTGTTATTGTTATTATATGTAATTATCATTATCATTATTGATATATTATCATCACTATTGTTATTATTATTATTATAATTATTATCATTATTATCACTATTATCCTTTATCATTATTATTATTGTTATTATCATGACCACTATTATTTCTAATTTCATTATCATCTTTCTTTTCACCATGTAAATATATCATTACTATCATTATCAATGTCATTATGTACACTATCATCACCACTGTTATAGTTATCATAATAATCACCATCGCTATTATCATTAATATACTTAAGAAATAACATTAAATAACAAGACAGAGATAAGTCCTCGGATAGCGCATACCTCCGCCAGGCAAAAGGGTCACTGATGTATAAAGAATATTCACACTTAAAGAATTACATTAAAATCACGTCTTTCTCAAATATACCGATTTCCCTATCTCGCAATGCAAATCAATCCTTTAAAAAGATATTAAAGTTGGACTAGGACACACCTCTGCTAAAAAAAAAAAAAAAAAAAAAAAAAAAAAAAAAAAAAAAAAAAAAAAAAAATCCTAAAAATCCTGAAAATCCTATCATAACTTTTTGAGTTATCCTGCTAACCAACTCGCAATGCAAATAAATCCTTTAAAAAATCAAAGTTGGACTAAGACACACCCCTGGTAAAAAAAAAAAAAAAAAAAAAAAAAAAAAAAAAAATCCTATCATAAATTTTTTGAGTTATCCTGCTAACCAACCGACCAACAAACTAACTAACCAACGCTACCAGACACACAACCTCCTTAGCAACTAACCTCGTCTTCCTTCGCAATATTTTGGCGTTGTGGCGACAGTCTGAAGAAAAGAAAATAGTGTGAGATTTTACTCTTTAATTAAGGGAGAGGTGACACTGATCAAATTGGATTATTAATTGGATGTTTTATATATATATATATATATATATATATATATATATATATATATATATATATATATATATATATATATATATATATATATATATGGATGGTTTGGTATGTGCTAGATACAGGAATTATTTTGAAACGTGCATAGGTATAAGTATATATACATACAGAGATAAGAATAACACTAAAACACACATGAGGATACACTCAGACTCAGTCACACAGGCATACACACATACAAATAATAGATAAACATACAGACACAAGCATAACATACACACCAAAAATATCCACACACAAACCACCCTACACACACACAATCACACAAAACAAACACACAACACACTCACCCACCACCACACACACACACAGACACCCCCCCCCCCCCACGCACACACAATCACACATGCACACCCAAAACACCCTCACGCCTACACTCACCAACTCACACGCCCACAAAAACACACTCACCACAGGGGAGGACACTACACTGCAGTGCCCATAAACTGGATATGCTGCTTTTCACGCCCACGCCCATGGCACCGCAGTCCGGGTGGGTGCAGATCCTGCTCTCGTTCACGCCCAGAGAAGGGATGATAACGCTGTAGGATTCTGAGAGATAGATATCCTGTTTAGATAAGGTTTAATATCCTTTTCTTAGGCTGTTTATCTTATCAGTATATCGGGTTTGGATCTGATTATGTTCTTAGCGATATAATTTCGATTATATATATTCAAGATTGTCATCTTTAATTGTTATCACTAATACCATTAATACTACATACACACAGGCACATACACACACACACACACACACACACACACACAACACATATGTATATATATGTGTGTGCTTGTGTGTGTATGTGTGTGTACATATGTGTGTATGTGTATGTGTGTGATATATAGCGAGCGTATAAAACCATACGATAAAAAAAAAGTGCGAGAACAAAAAAAACAAACAAACAAAAAAAAAGAAAGAAAAAAACAACACATAAAGAAAATAAATCAAATGATAAAAAAACAATATAAAGAAAAGAAATCAAATGATAAAAAATAAAAACAAAAACAAAAAAAGAAACGAAAAAAAAAAAAACAATTAAAGAAAAGAAAAACAACAAAAACAACAACAACAACAACAACAAAAAACAGCTGACGAGCGATTCCCAACCTAATCTCCGCCTGACATCCTCGACCTCGGCCTTGACCTCAATCTCGTGCCACATGTTCCTCTGCTCCTCCTCGATGGCGACGCTCACCTCGAGTCCTTCTCCAACGAGGGACAGCTCCTCCACGTCGCCCTCGGGCCACCAGAAGATCCTCGAGATGTCCTTCGTCAGAGGCGTGCCCACGGAGGTGAAGCGGTGGACTTGGCATCCTGTGGGAGGGAGAGGAAGGATTAGGAATCGTGAGGAAGGATTAGGAATCATGAGGAAGGATTAGGAATCATGAGGGAAGATGGAGGAGGATGAGGAAGGATTTGAACATGAGGAAGGATTGGGAATCATGAGGGAAGATTGAGGAGGATGAGGAAGGATTAGGAACCATGAGGAAGGATTGGAACCATGAAGGAAGGATTCATGAGGAAGGATTAGGAATCATGAGGAAGGATTAGGAATCATGAGGAAGGATTGGAATCATGAGGAAGGATCATGAGGAAGGATTAGGAATCATGAGGAAGGATTAGGAATCATGAGGAAGGATTAGGAATCATGAGAAGGATTAGGAGGAAGGATTAGGAATCATGAGGAAGGATTAGGAAGAGGAAGGATTAGGAATCATGAGGAAGGATCATGAGGAAGGATCATGAGGAAAGGATTAGGAATCATGAGGAAGGATTAGGAATCATGGAAGATTAGGAAGAGGAAGGATTAGGAATCATGATTAGGAATCATGAGGATTAGGAATCATGAGGAAGGATTAGGAATCATGAGGAAGAATCAGGAATCATGGGGAGGATTAGGAATCATGAGTAAGGATGGATGAGGATGAGGGAGAATTAGGAAAGATGAGGAATCATGAGGAAAGATGAAGAAGGATTAGATATCATGAGGAAGGATGGATGAAGATGAGGAAGGATTAGGAATCATGAGGGAAGATGGAGGATTAGGAATCAAGAGGGAAGATGGGTGGAGAAGGATTAGGAATAATGAGGAAAGATGGATGAGGTGGGATTAGGAATCATGAGAAAGAGGAAGGATTAGGAATCGTGAAGAAAGATGAATAGGGAAGGATTAGGAATCATGAAGAAAGATGAAGGATGGAAAAGGATTAGAAACTATGGGGAAAGATGGATGAGGAAGGATGAGGATGATGTATGCTGCGAGTAAAAGGTTACAGTTGTAGTTAAAGAGCTGTGGTGAGTTTTCTTTTTTCTTTTTTATTGTGCTTCCTTACTTTTGTGAATCTCTTGATCTGTTGTTTTTTTCTCTATTTCTTTATGTTTTTCCTCTCTCTCTTCTTTTTTCTTTCGCTCACTCACCCCCCATCCTCTCACTCACTTACTCACTAACTCTCTCTCTCTCTCTCTCTCTCTCTCCCTTCCTTCTTCTTCCCTTCTCTCTCTTCTCTCTCTCTCTCCCCTTCTCTCTCTCGCTCCTCCTTCTCTCCATCCCTATCTCACTCATCCAACGACACCCTCTTTCCCTTTCTTCCTCTCTACCTTTTCTCTCTTTACTTCATTCCTCTCTTCCTCTCCTCTTTCCTCCTCTTTATTTCATTCCTCCCTTCCTTCCTCCTCTTTACTTCTCCTTTCTCTTTACTTCATTCTCTCTTCCTTCTCTCTTTCTCCTCTTTACTTCATTCTCTCGTCCTCTCCTCCTTTCCTCTTTACTTCATTCCCTCTCGTCCTCTCCTCCTTTCCTCCTCCTTACTCCTTCCCTCGCTTCCTTTCCGCCTTTCCTCCTCTTACTTCATTCCCTCTCTTCCTTCCTTCCTTTCCTCCTCCTTACTCCATTCCCTTCATTCGTTCTCTACTCACCTGGGTCACACGCTGTGTCATCTATCGCATCCGCCTCTGAAACAGGAAATAACATAAGTAACAATAATCCAGGATGCATGAAAAGGAAAAGAGAATGATTAGATTGCAACACTAATGATGACAACAAAAATAATTACAATAACAAGACCATAATTGCAGTAGTAATGATAATGATAATGTTCACTATCAGACGTGGATGAGTGGAAGAGGAGTGGGTGATCTTGTGTTATTTTGCACTCTGGATGATTGATTTGTGAAGATGTGGGTGATTGTTATTACTTATGCATGTTTATTTCTCTTTAATGGTGTATGTATGGTTTAAAGTGCGTGTGTAGATTTTATGTTTGTGTAGTATGAGTATGTTGTAGTAGACATAAATACGTAAATATGGTGGTATATATATGCAAATATAGTGATGTTTAAGTAAATACAATCATATTTATGTAAAGAAATATATGAATATCATATAAGTAAATTCAGTGATATACTTTATATGTAAATACAATGATATAAAAGTAAATATAATGATATATAATTAAAATCCACTTACAAATAACTAAATACAATGATAGATAACTAAAAAAATATATATGAGTAGAATACAATGATATATAAACATAATACAGTGATACATAAGAAAAATATTTAACTACAATACAATGATACATAAATAATATAAGTAAAAGTGACAAAAGTAAAATAATGAACCATAATAACGCGACTCACCAAAGACACAGACGAGAAAGACACAAATCATTAACATTTCAATAAAATATAAA